TGGAGGATGTGAAAAGAAAAGAAGGAAGAGACAGATCAAAATGGTGGCGAGGAGACGAAAATTCAAGTGACGCTATGAAAAATATTCACATGTACTTGTGCCCTCATCATATCCACACACGCAAGCCAACGTGATTAGCTGCGTACCCAGATCGTTTTCTTGTGATGGTATTCAGTGGGAAATCGTCACTGGTCGGTAACATCTACTGAAAAAGGGTTGCTCAATCTCAGGGATGTTAAGCTCTTAGTCTCTACCACATCTTGTATACGCAAACCAACTTCCCCTTTTTCATGTTATTTCATAAGTTACAACCTTCGAAGTTGGAAGCCGGCTGTTGGTTTGCGTATGCAAGATGTGATAGAGCTTAACATTAGGTCGTTGAATGCCAGATTGCCAGTCCTATAATCAGTCAGTCTCTTACTGGCTGTTGCACCTTCTGACTACACAACATCTTGTATATACAATCATGTAACTGTTAGTGTTGGACACAAACTATGGATAACAAGTAACATGTTGGTATTTTCTTTTAATTATTGTTCCTGCTTTCTCGTGTGTTTCCTGTATATTTGATACATCTATTTGAAGAAGGAAGAGAAACAGGATCGAATGGATTGCCCGCCATCAGGTTTTTATGGGTCTGCCAATTCGCTTTTGAGCTTAATCTGCCTATAATTATTGGGCGCATCATCCACCACAGGCTGAGTGTGGTAGATACGTACCTACCGACATGATCAAAACAGAATATAATGGCATCCGGCACGTGACCATACAGCAGGGCAGCAATGTTGGATCCAACACCAGTCAGCCCCTGCATCTATGGGTCACGTGGGTTCCATCTCGGGTCAATTTCTGAATCTACATGTATGGGTCAATGTAGGCATGTGCATGATTGTGCACTTTGAGAATAATTATAGTAAAAGTTTTTTTTAATGTCAGATCTCAGACAGTGTTGGTTCCCCTGTCCAAATGCATGTACACTTTCTACACAGATGCAGTCACGTGACAAAAATATCAACACCACTCTATACAGTAATATGCAGTTTTAACCCTTTGAGAGCCGCCCCATACTTGAATGCGTCGTAAACGACGCATTCAAATGCAAAACTTCAAAAGATCGTAACTCAGTCCAATCTCGCTCAAATCCAGTGATCGAAATATCCAGGGCGAAGAGAAAACTCTCACCTGTCGGGAGAAACAATCCGTGAAACGCTGCGAGCAACGGTTCCTGAGATAAATCACTCGTAAGTTGAGCCGCGATCGCGGCAATTTCAAAAGCGCGCAGTACGACATTAGTGTTGAGAATTTTGAGACTTTTCGTCACGCTGGTTTACTCGAATTTGCACGGGTTTCTCTGTTGATATTGTCAAGAGTACACAGCGAAAAATTTGGAACTCCACGATCGAGTAAAATGAAATATCTGGAGCGGGACGCAATTGGACGCATTTGGGGCATTTTTCGTACTGTCGCTGCGATCTAGCGCTGGATAGACGGTGTACTGGCTATCATGATCGACCTCATTCTCTTCCTCTCGTGGAGACCTTTCCAGGAAGCCCTAGATTGTGAGGATTGAGTGAGTAGAACTGAAGCTATGATCCAAGGAACACGAAAAAATGCAGAATTTTGAAATTTTCCTGTGGCTCTTAAAGGGTTAACATGATGGACTCGGGTGGAGAGCCAAGAGTTAGTTTATAACAAAGAAAAAGACCAAGGAACTACAAGACGTGCTAGAGCTGGTCAGTTGTAGAACGTTAGTACCGTCGGCCAGTGTCATGCAATGTTGTTGTTGTTGTTGTTGTTGTTGTTGTTGTTGTTGTTGTTGTTGTTGTTGTTGTTGTTGTTGTTGTTGTTGTTGTTGTTGTTGTTGTTGTTGTTGTTGTTGTTGTTGTTGTTGTTGTTGTTGTTGTTGTTGTTGTTGTTGTTGTTGTTGTTGTTGTTGTTGTTGTTGTTGTTGTTGTTGTTGTTGTTGTTGTTGTTGTTGTTGTTGTTGTTGTTGTTGTTGTTGTTGTTGTTGTTGTTGTTGTTGTTGTTGTTGTTGTTGTTGTTGTTGTTGTTGTTGTTGTTGTTGTTGTTGTTGTTGTTGTTGTTGTTGTTGTTGTTGTTGTTGTTGTTGTTGTTGTTGTTGTTGTTGTTGTTGTTGTTGTTGTTGTTGTTGTTGTTGTTGTTGTTGTTGTTGTTGTTGTTGTTGTTGTTGTTGTTGTTGTTGTTGTTGTTGTTGTTGTTGTTGTTGTTGTTGTTGTTGTTGTTGTTGTTGTTGTTGTTGTTGTTGTTGTTGTTGTTGTTGTTGTTGTTGTTGTTGTTGTTGTTGTTGTTGTTGTTGTTGTTGTTGTTGTTGTTGTTGTTGTTGTTGTTGTTGTTGTTGTTGTTGTTGTTGTTGTTGTTGTTGTTGTTGTTGTTGTTGTTGTTGTTGTTGTTGTTGTTGTTGTTGTTGTTGTTGTTGTTGTTGTTGTTGTTGTTGTTGTTGTTGTTGTTGTTGTTGTTGTTGTTGTTGTTGTTGTTGTTGTTGTTGTTGTTGTTGTTGTTGTTGTTGTTGTTGTTGTTGTTGTTGTTGTTGTTGTTGTTGTTGTTGTTGTTGTTGTTGTTGTTGTTGTTGTTGTTGTTGTTGTTGTTGTTGTTGTTGTTGTTGTTGTTGTTGTTGTTGTTGTTGTTGTTGTTGTTGTTGTTGTTGTTGTTGTTGTTGTTGTTGTTGTTGTTGTTGTTGTTGTTGTTGTTGTTGTTGTTGTTGTTGTTGTTGTTGTTGTTGTTGTTGTTGTTGTTGTTGTTGTTGTTGTTGTTGTTGTTGTTGTTGTTGTTGTTGTTGTTGTTGTTGTTGTAGAAAGTCTATTTAACATCGCGCCACAAACAGGCGGTTTCGCCTCCTTTGATACATGTGGACGACAGAGAGAACACGAGAGAGAGAGGGGGGACAGAAATTCGGAGAGAGGAAGGATAGAAAATAATGTTTTAATGCGGTACGATTACACTAGCAATCGCAACAACGGTGGACATACCTGCTTGTTTTGGTTTGGGTTTGAAAATCTGTATTTTATACGTGCATTGTCCTGATTTCTTCTCCAGTGTATGTTGTATTGCATGTTAATCCATTGTCTTAATTTTTGCCCGTAAAATAGGCTTGGCATAATTATGTGTTTCGATGATCATACCTGCTTTCCGGACGCGAGTAATCATAGTAATCAGTTACTATGGTTTCGTCAGATGACAGGCAAGATGGCGGTGCCTTGATCCATGATGGGCCGCGGCCGCAGGACTGTGACGTCGACGTGGCGTGTGCTGCTTGGCTCGACAGGCGAGTGACGCGGGCAGCCTGCCGCTGCTGACTGGCAGGGACGCGAGCTGCCTGCTTGGCGGCGCCTAAACAGGATGGCTTCTTACTCTTAGACTTAGAGCGACCAGGCCACGCGCGAGCCAGCGCCCTGGATCCTTCTCTGCGTGGGTTTGGGCGGTGAACCTCGCCGCGGCCAATACTCGAGCGCGACGTTGCTGCCGAGTTTTCTTCCTCGAACGCTGAGTCTTCAGTGTCGTCAAGCTGACACATCTCGTCAGTCGTGCTTCCGTCGACGAACACGGAGCCTGTGTAGGACGTTTCAGACACACGTGGACACGTGCCCGGCTGTCGTAGTGCTACAGAAAATGGTCTGGTGCGTGTCGGCCGATGTTGGGCCTCGCTTATCCGCCTTACTTCGGCCGACACGACGCTCTGCAGTCGATGGATCTTCGTCAAGCTGTCCTCCTTCGGCTCTTCCAGTATCGCGCCCATGGTCCTCTCCCTGAACTTCGAAATGGGCGACGCCATTTCTTCACCTGTGTGGATCGACCGTGGAACTGGCGGCCCGATCTTCTTCGGTTCCTGCTCTAAATATGGCACATCCACGGAACTTGATCGTCGGAGCACGTGACGTAACAATGACATCGGTCGGCGATCTTTCTTCGCCAGTTCACCAGTTGAGCCGCTCCGCTTGAAGGACTGACTCACTCCGGCTGGTTCAGCAACACCGACAGTGGCAAGATTGACACGTGACCCGGGCTCGCTGCTAGCGTACTGTGGCGAGTCGTCCCGCAATGATGCCGGAAGACTAGCATACTCTGCAGACCTGCCTTGCAAAGTGGACCAGCGGTCATAAGGGCCGGTTGCAGATGTTCGGATTTGCGGCGCTTGCCCTTGTTGATTATCAGAGACATGTACATATGGATCGTCTCGCACACTGCACATACTCAGGGATGGAGTTTTGCTTTCAGTTACATGTATATCATCAGAGGCATGATGAATTGCGGACATGCTTTTGGCAGACGATAGGCTATTCCTGCTAGCTGCATCACAGGAGGAGTGCAGCGAACGACCGTCAGCCGATGCAGCCACGGAGCGCATATCGGTGACGCTAGATGCTCGTGTGTTCTGCAGGCGCTTTGCAGCGTACGCAGCCTCCTGTTCGGCGGACACGTCCGGATCGTTCCACGTGGCCGCTTGCAGACTCTGCGAGGAGACGGCCTTGCGAATGGCCGATCCGGCTCGCGGGAGCGTGTGCACCACGTTGTGCACCGCCTTGCGCCACCGACTGCGGCCGCCGCTTTTCTTATTCTCCTGCTCTTGTATGTAGTCCCATGGCAGGCTTGTGGAGTGGCTTAGGGTACTGTGTGCAGCCGCTGTGGACGCTACATTGTCATCATTGATGTTCACAGTAGTGGAGTCAACACTCGTTGGGTGAGAATACGCCCGTTGTCGACATTTGTTGCCGGTTCGGGAGATCTCATCGGGATAGTCCAGGATCACCAGATTGGACTGTAGTGGTCCGTCGTTCCTGGCAAGGGTGTTCGACTTGGGACTGTCCCTCATGAAGTCTGGCAGGTTGCAGCTGCCCACTGGCGTGGGTAGGAGGCTGCAGGGCCCATCCTGCTCCGTCAGTGAGAAGGCCGATGCCACTGTGATGGGCTGGGCATCAACACCAGACGCCGTGGATGGGTACATGCACTGGAATTCAAGTATTTCCTCTTCGATTTCAAGCTCCTCGTCCTGGTACATCCGCCCAGCCTTTGGCAAACTGTCTAGTTGGCGAGGCTTCGGGGAGGAACATGGCGATATCGAGGCGTCGTGTGGCTTCTGTATCCTTCCGGCTTCCATTGGATTTTCACCATGGGCCACGTTCGAGTAATCCTGACGAACGACGCTCCGCAGTGACACCCAGTTGCCTTCTGCGCTCGTGGATACTGCCTTTGCTGCCTTATCCTGGGCTACTGAAGCTGCCGCCCATCTGTCAGCGGAACTCACGGATCGAACGATGCCCTTGCCTCCTTCCGTTGCTATTGGCGGCGTTAGGCCGGGAGATTTCTCCGTATCCGTCATCTCATCATCTGCATCGGAGCCAACGGATGGCATGAAGAAGTTGTCCCCAAAGCTTTGGTGTTTCGAGGGCTCTGCAGCGGTCTCCAATGCGGCCAAGTGAATCGTTGCCTGGTCGAGGGAGCTGCGATTGCTTCTCTCGGACCCGGTCAGAGACGGCTTTCTTCTGCAATTTTGCGTCGCTACCGATACAGGTAGCAGACCGGGCTTGCCACTCTGGTCTTGATGCGCTGGTGTCAGCGATGCTGAGATTGGTACATGGTCCGGCGATTGTGCTGGGGCTGGAACATTCCTCCTACTGCTAGGAAACTTGGGACCTTTTCCCGAACCGGACTCCATTGTTTGTTCTGGTTGATCCTGGAAAGGTTTGTAGAGGTCTGGTAGAGAGAGGCACTTAGTAGTCGCCTCTCGTGATTGAACCACCGGGCGAACGCGCGGCACATCCAGTACATTGCCAGCGCTGCCGATGCCGTCAAGCATCATGAGGTCATCTGCCGACATGGTGGTCTTGCCGACCAGCCAGCTGCGACGGCCTTGCTGGGTCAGGCTCCGGTTGAAGGATGCTGAGTGAAGGGTAGCAGAGTTTTCAGGAAAGAACGGCATTGTGCTGTGCCCTTGATTGCCAACTGAAGCCAAAGGTGGCTGCTGCATGAAAAGCACAAGAAATATGCTATGAACTATTGCATGGAAATGCACTGCTGTCATTCGCACTTTTCGATTTGCCCCATGATGCAGTCATTTACGCTTTGCACTGCCGCCATTCACAACTTTTAGATTTGCGCCATGATGCAGTCATTTACACTTTGTTTTGTGGGTATATAAACCAGGACTGATCCAGATGTACTCATCACTGTTGTCTGATGATCGCTTAGTGCGTGAAACTCAGAGTTAAAACACTTTCTCTGTCCTCTTATTGTTTATTGTGGGATGTAGATGATGATGAGTCCACAAAGGACGAAACAGTTCTGTCCGCAGACTGAGTATTGTGGGATACAGATATTGTACTGAGAAAGTAGCTTTGGAAGTATGCAGAACTATTTTAATAAGGCGTCGCAAACAATGCGTACCTTGACTACACATCCTTAAGTGTTTGCATCTGGTTATGTGCTTGAGCTGCTGAAAGACTGGTCCCCCGATTTGTAAGTCAGTATTAAGTGTTTGCATCTGGTTATGTGCTTGAGCTGCTGAAAGACTGGTCCCCCGATTTGTAAGTCAGTAGTGCGTCTGGATGAACACTCCCGGCACATGTACACGTATCAGCGATTTTTGAGATTCCTCGTGTTGCATGTATCAATGTAAAGGGCGCAGTTTAGGCCAAGGAACATTGAGAACACCCTTTCCTCGCGTCAGAGAACTGCAAAGGTTCAACGAATCGACCATCTACTTCGTACCCATTAATCACCCAGGGTACGGTTGTTTGAAAGAGTGGCGGATGTGGAAAGTTTGCTTGCCCCGACGTGCCATGCAACAAAAAGCGAAACGGAAAGCGGTAGGCCATCAAGTGGAAACTAACTTCTTACCGGTGCGTTTTGGAAGGGCGGAGGCAGGCTTGCGGGCAGGCCAGAGCGAACGTTGCCACTAGGCGTTTGGAGGGCACCTAGCAGTTCGTCTCCCGGCGTCCGCTTCGCATAGCACTCCGCTCCGCGCAGTAGGAGTCGAGAAGACGCGCCTGGATCTGCTGCTGGACACCGGGAAAGTGATTATGTTCTCGTACACTGCCACTGCACTGGTCCAACAGCAACTAAAACCATGCAGCAAGCCAGTGTACATGCATGTCTCTCGTCTAACAGACGAGTGGCGTGCAGTTCCAAGGCAGCAGCATCGAAGCGTGATGGTATACAGGCGGAAAAGTACAGTACGTGAGAGCGAGACAGGCACTTCGAAGAAGTAACAGTTCGATTACAGCCAGGCGCCAGGCAGGCGGCGAGCAGTGTACCGGTACCGGTGCGCACTGCACTGTCTTTCCGCAATGACTGCGCCAGTGTGTACGTGGTCATGTACATGACATCGTTTTCATATTTTGCACTAGCCCACACTACTAGTACACTCACTGTTACTACACTGACCAGCGTCCCGCGTAATCTGTCACTATACCAAAATGTGTTGGCTGCCCATATCATACCGTCTGCGTGGAAACTGCCAATACCTGAAACCATGCAGTAGTTCGCAGTGCGGCAGTTGTTCCTAAAGCAAAGGACAATGACATGTAGCTGTCTTTCCACATGTGACCGCCTGGTTAGCATTGCATGTTAGCGAAAATATCAGCCTATGCTATAGTCTATAGTGACGAATACACAGTGCAGTGTCATCTACACCGTGGAGTCATCGTGTTCCCCAAAGTAAGTTAGTGGGCAGTCGAGATGGTGTGATGATAATTGTCGATGATCAACATGTTACATGCACCATGGACCAGCCAGTGCACTGCAGGACCCAGGGTAGTACAGGAGTAGCCTACATGTATGTGAATGTACTAGTAGTAGTGATGCAGCAAGAAGAGAAGGGAGGAAGTGTGAGTTCCACGCACAACAAGTAGACCATCATCAGACGACAGAATATGCATGCTGCCGGTGGCGTCATGTTTCCCAAACGTTAGTGGGCAGTCGAGATGAGTGTGATGATATTGTCGATATGTTACCAGCCAGTGCAGGGTCATACAGGAGTAGCCTACACGTGAACGTGATGCAGCAAGAACGAAGAAGAGAAGGGAGAAAGTGTGAGTTTCACGCACAAGTAGACCATCATCATGCATCAGACGACAGAATATGCATGTGTTGTTGACGGTGGCATCATGTTCCTGAAAAGTTAGTGGGCGGTAGAGATGGGTGTGATGATTGATATTGTCGATGATCGCCAGCCATGCCAGTGCAAGGCCTAGGCTAGGGTCGTACAGGAGATGTCAGGAGTAGCCTACATGTATAATGAATGCAGTAGTGATGCAGCGAGAAGAGAAGGGAGAAAGTCACACAGCTCAGGGGTGTGAGTTTCACGCACAAGACTTAGTAGACCATCATCAGACGATAAAATAATGTATGTAATAATTGTTGCATTATCTACCGGTAGAAGGGCCCGCAGCGTGCGTGATTGTTGCAGTGCAGATTGCGGTGGTTTGTGGTGATGCATCTGTTTGAATCAAAATCAAACCGCAATGCCATGTGTACTGAGTGCATGTGACTTTCCTGCTCTGAGGTTCGGCCTCATTTCCTCTGTGCTGCGCTGATGAGTTCACAAAGAACGAAACAGCATGTTGTCCGCAGATTGAGTAATATACTGTACAATCCTGTAGTGGTACATACTGTTGTGAATTCCAGCAGAAATCCAAGAGAGCTCGATAACGGGAAGGCATGAAACTTTTAAAAGTTGTGACTGATCAGGCCATCTGTTGTTCTGACTAGTGCGTAGTGGTACATATATTTATGGTGGACAGGTATTCGTATTACTTGAATTACTATTAGCAAGAGAAGATAAACTTCGTCTACTCTTGGTATTAGTACTATCCTATCAGGCTTGTGTTGACGTTAGGTGACTGAAGAAAGTGGCTACTCCAACTGAACAGTAAACTGACTAACACTAATACAGTACAGTACATGTACTTGGACGGCACATGAAGATGTACAATGTCTATGGTCATGTACATGTAGGTCTTTCAGGGGTGGCACTTAGGATGCTGATGAGCCCTAGCCTGAACATCGCTGCCATCTTGTTCTTGACAACTTGAGTACGTGCGTAACACGTGTACATGTACATGACTGTATACGTTCTGTGACACGTACTCTTTTGGATCGACTTTTCAGTGCTTACTTCAAATGGTGAACGGTACTATTCGGCCAATAAAATGTAAAGAACTCTTCCTCTCCTCTCCTCCATGCGCTCTCACAGCCGACTCACTGCTACCCTCAGTAGCCATTACACACACCAACCAAGTGCTGTAGCAAGTAATAGATTAGTTAGTTTCAGTTGGGTCTTGCTGCGCCACGATCTGGTTTGGATGGTTTATCTATTATACCACATGATTTAATTGAAGCTGTCAGTGACCAAGTCAGTGATTGAGTTACCTACCGTACTGTCGGGCGCCGAAGAACGGCCAGGCCAGACTGATTTCACCAATTTTTAAGAACGGTCTACAGTGCATTTCAAAACTATAGACGCGTAGGGTTTTTGAAATATTTCAAATTTGGCTGGAACTTTTTGAGAATAGTTTTCGGAATATTGCTCAGGATCGCTCCACAATTACTCTCATATAGTTTCTAAAGGATTGGATAACCGACGCCCAATTTGGAAAAAATTATGCACAAAGTGATCACAGATTTTATGTGGTATAGATGCTGGCATAACGGTTTTTGCCTAGGTACGCGTCTATAGTTTTGAAATGGACTGTAGGCTGGAATTTTTTGCAGATCAGAACGGAAACCGTATTGTACACTATAATGTACACTCAGACGTACATGTGTAACTCTGCATAAATGTACAATACATGTAAGACTGTACCATCGAATAAGAACGTAGCTGCTGTGTTCGCTAAAAATAAGAACGGTTTAGCGCTGCAGTGGCATGTTTACGAGGTGTGTATCGCTCTGGAAACGGAGCATGGCTGTAAAGTGCGTGTCTCTGGTGATGCTGGGCGTGGAGAACTAGCAGCAACTGATTGCGCGGTTCTCCACTGGCATAACTAACCTTCCCGGCCTTCTCTGGGCTAAGCTGGTGAATTAGAAGGGGTGAATCTCCCGTCATACCCACAGCACGCATACACACACACACACACACACACACACACACACGCGCGCGCGCGCGCACACACACACACACACGCTCACACATACATGCACACAGGTGAATTAGAAGGGGTGAATCTCCCGTCATACCCACAGCACGCATACACACACACACACACACACACACACGCGCGCGCGCGCGCACACACACACACACGCTCACACATACATGCACACGCGTGCACAAACACACAAACGCACACACTAACTGCGTGAAAGCGTCAAGTCTGATCACACACATCGCTCTGGAAACGGAGCATGGCTGTAAAGTGCGTGTCTCTGGTGATGCTGGGCGTGGAGAACTAGCAGCAACTGATTGCGCGGTTCTCCACTGGCATAACTAACCTTCCCGGCCTTCTCTGGGCTAAGCTGGTGAATTAGAAGGGGTGAATCTCCCGTCATACCCACAGCACGCATACACACACACACACACACACACACACGCGCGCGCGCGCGCACACACACACACACACGCTCACACATACATGCACACGCGTGCACAAACACACAAACGCACACACTAACTGCGTGAAAGCGTCAAGTCTGATCACACACATGTTTTGTTAGTCACACTTATAGATATGATTGTAGTAGTACATGCTACATGATTTTTTATTTTTTATTAGAGCCACGTAAACCCGTCATGTGTGAGCCATGAATAAGGGGAGTGGTGGCGTGGTCTGGGATGCTCTGCCGACCTTGGGTCTCGGCTTCAGCACAACCAGGCGCGCCAATAGCAGAGAGAGAAAGAGAAAGAGACATAGACAGAGAGATAGAGAGAGATGATGCAGTGCAAGCAAAGGGAGGAGAGACGAGTGATGAGAGCAGGAGAAGCAAGGCCAGAGAAGCGCACCGAAAACCAAACGAACAGACCAAGGCTAACACAGGGGAGTTGGTGCAGTTCTCCTTCTCGTAGTTCTGGTCTATCTTAGGCACGGCCACCGGCGAATTATGCTGGAAAAGGTGGCAGATTCTGCTCGAAAAGCAGTGAAATTGGCAGAACCATACAAACCTTATGGCGGGCAATTCCTCAATTCCTTCTGCTCCATTTCTTTATCCACATACCAAACATGCATAAAACGTACAAGAAAAAGTACCGAATTCTGCCAATTTTTCTGCCGGCATAATCCGCCGGTGCCTAGACTCTATCTTCCCCTGTTCTGGTTAGTGGTACAGCTTAGCTCTGCTATTATCCACATTGCAATGTTGCATGCACCATTTCCATCGCCATCATTATTGGGCAAGCCTGATCGTTTGGTTTGCGATATGTTAAACTGTAAATGAAACAAACAATAGCGAGTTGTTTCGGTGCTTATCATCAGGGTTGCCTGGGGCCAGGCTCGCCAGACTTAGGGGAGGGGGGGGGGGACTGCAAAATCCCCGCGACGCAGCTCACCCGATGATCAAGGTGTGGGTTCTCTTCACTCAGTAGAGTAGAGTCGAGCGAGCTGCAACTCCCGGCGCCGAAAGGCGGGCTCACGCCCCTACATGGCTCCTTCCCCTTATCTAACCCCCAAGACGAAAACTAATGATAGTAGCCGACTGGCCGAAATAAAAGAAAAAAAGTAAGTGTTTCGGTAGCACTGGTGCCCGCAGCCAGGCACAGTTCAGAATAGTCACAGGAGGACATACAATACACGTACATTGTAGACGGTTTGAACCCCCAAACCGTGATTATCATGCTTCGAAAGCTCTCAACAGCAGTGAGGACATACATAATAATTATTATGTACATGTACATGATTGTACCTGTCGCGCCAACCAGCGAAGTATGCACCCCTAGCGCGCCTGTCCGGGGTCTAGACCGGCCATGCATGGGGAAAGGCTACCAGTACAGCCCTGCATAGCCCTCTCGCCTTGTCGACAGTGCCGTTGTCGACAGTGCCTGACAGTTGACACTACATTGTATTGTCGACATTTGTCACGGGCGAGGCTAAAAAATATGATAGGACTACATACTTGTGTGATCAGTCTGTCTTTCCAATACCAAATTACCAATAAAGAAGAATAATTACATGTATAAAAAAAATGATCGTGTCCGTCCCCAAAGGGAACTCACGACGGCCTCTAACACTTTTAAAACCCTAGGGGCAGATGCAGCGCCTAACGGTGGGGGTGAGTGGATAAGTCACACAACCACTGGCACAAGTGCCGAGAAACCCCATTAGCCGCATCCATGGGCAATACAGTACAATGAAAACAGAGGAGAACTTCCCGGGGTTGAAAAACTCAGAAAGGGAAGAAAGAGGGGAGCGCGGCCCAGCGCTTTGCCGCAACCAGGGCCCCGGCAAAAGGTCCCCATTGTTTGGTCACGTGGCCGTGGGCCCTGGCGCGCTAGCGCTAGCGGAAGGAAATACCGTAATAATTATTTCCGCCTTTTTCCCAATTTTTTGCACCTGCAGCGCTGCTGAAACATTTGAATGAATAATGTCTAAAGTCACGGCCAAAGATCACAGACAGAAGACTCATCAGTCACGGTTTGGGTGTTAGCTCTAGCCGCTCTTGAAAGGTGGTGTTGTTTGCAGTGAACCTACGCTCACGTTGGAATTCACTTTTCCAGTGCGCCCGCTGAGCTTGCTGTGTGGGACCATTCATCAGCGCAGTGACAGTCAGGACTCACGAGAGCTGCTCTATTGGCTCGCGCCAACTCCAGAAATCAATTCGGTGTCAGCGCCAGTGTACTGCTGACAGTGAAGCCGGACCAAATCCGAGCCTAGCCGTCCATTACGCTGTGAGTGCAGACGGGACTCGCCTCGTTGTCCACACCGGCGGTATCGTTGAGCCGGGAACATTCTCATTGAAGCGTGAACAACTACTTACTGTCTGAGTGAGTGCAAGGCTGAGCTGTGTAGTCATAATACTGTACACTGTGGCTGTACGTGTTGTGTATGTGCTTCGGGATATAAAAATATATTGTTTTATTACTATAGCAAATAAAGCCAAAAAAACAAAAACAAAACAAAAGCGATGAATAAAAATGCGCACATAATCATCACAAACATTGTCATTGCGTGTGTGTGTGTGCGCGCGCGCGCGCGTGTGTGTGTGTGTGTGCGTGTGCGCCTACCGCTCTGCAGGTACAGTGTCACCACATCAGCAGCCTGCCGAGAATGGATTCGGATTCCCGCCACTCGTATTACAAGCAACCGCACCCACACGACAGCGGTATGCTACAGGTAAGATGCGGTCAGTGCACGGAGAGTCAGTGCACGGAGAGTGTTCCAAAAGACCATTGCAAACCCACACCTCAGAATTTACTCAACCTGGAGGGAGGGGGGGGGGGGCAGCATGCTGTTTAGTCCTTTGTGGACTCGTCAGCGCAGCAAAGAGAGGATGAGTAGCAACGAAAACATTTAACAGAAATCCAAAAGCCAGATTTAAACCAGACCCGAACGTACCTTGCCAGAGTGCTCAAACTGACAAGTCAGTGAGCTCTGCGTAATGCAAACAGCAAAGGCACTGGCCCACATGAGAGTGCAGAATGTATGCACGTTTTTTTATTTTTTTTATTTTCTTATTGTAAAACCGGAAACCTTCAGACATGTGAATGTGCACATGATATACAGTGTACATACGTTTGCAGTGTCTAGTAACGTTACACTCCCCTATATACTCCTAGTGATCCCAAGCATCCTCTATTGAGTTACAACACAACAAAGTCTCCCTCCACTGTAAACTTCTGTCAGAATGCTTGCACACTGTAAACTACGTTATTTTCGGTGTAGCTTTAATTTCGGTAATGTCGGTAGAGAAGCCAGGCGCCTAAATTTACAGTCCATTCATAAAAAGATGGGTCCTGGCTCTGGTGAGCTCCCGTATTTGGCGATTTTTCGTGATTTCATCGTACACAGTGCAGTGCTGCGAACTTTGAAATTTGAAAAAGGGTCCAAAAAGGGTGCCTGAACTGGGGTTCGAACCGCAGAATGCACTGTTGCAGGCGGGGTCAAAAGGCCTGGATTTTGATGGTTTTTCCCAATTCAGTGCTTTTGGGGCAAAACCTGGCCGAAATCCTATTCTTGCTATGGCTTGCTTTTTGGACAAAAAAACTTCAGAAACATAATTGGAAGAGGATTCCATATGGGATTGCAGAAAAATTCTAAAAAAACTCAACGTTTGACCCATTTATGGCCAAAAGCTAGAAGTTCATTTTTTTCTGAATGGACTGTAGATTACACCTAAACGACACTGGAGTACGTATTGACTATCGTTCGGGCCTGATTTAAATCTGGCTTTGGAAATTTGATTTTCATTGCTATCAGGTTCGGCCTCATTTTCTCTGTGCTGCGCTGAGGAGTTCACAAAGAACGAAACAGCATGCTGTCCGCAGATTGACTATTGTATGTGAATATGTTTGATATGTTTAAAAGGCGATCAGTATAGTGAGTATACAGTCAGGCCTTGTTTATCCGGTCCTCTTTTATCCGCATCCCTCGCCATCCGGAAGAAAATCGTTGATTACCGATTTACAGCATTTGTCATGCATGCATACAGATTTGTGTTCGATTATCCGGTTCGCTCGCCTATCCGGATATTTTGTGGAAAAAACGGACGTGTGCGGTTAAGCGAGGTCTGACTGTACAATTCTCCCACAGCAATGAAGCAACCAAGTCCTTTTCTGCCGTTACTCAGAGTTTCTCGTGTTAAAAGAAAACTCATCAACCAGCATGATACTAAAGGACTTGGTTGAGACATTGCTGTGTGATCATGGTATTACTGGCTCTGTCCACTGGACATAGAGCACTATACGCAACCTGAGGACCTTAGACAAATATCTAGTGAGTACTTCCGCTCGTCATTAAAATTGTCGCTTCCCAGAGCGATTTTTCAAATTGATTTCGTCCCCTCGAAGGGCAAAGAAATCAGCTAGAAATTGAAGCAGAGCATTGTCGACAGACCAAGCTTAGTTTGTGGCCTCCCGCTTCGCTTCACTTGCAGCTAAGGTTGACGTCTTCATCAGAGTTTGTGGCAGACCCTTCAACACTCAACAAGACGCGCGTTCGAATTCAGGTAATGAAAGTTTGTTTTCAAGCAATTCATGCCTCCAAGTGGCAGGCGATGACGGCAAACTAGCATTTTTCAAGTACACCGTAACGACTTTCCAGCAGGATAGGGCAAGCAGTTCCGCGCCTTCTTTCCTTGGCAAGCGCTTCGCTGATTTTTTGGTGTTTTCAGACCTGCTACCTTCGCAGCAACATGCGCCATACGTAGCGCATTTTAGGAATATGAGAACACTTTGTTCTTGGCATCGTCAAATTCAGCATTTCGAATTCAGGTGAGATGCCAGGATTCTTATACCCGAGGTTGTAGTCTTGATAAATGCCCACGCGAACGATGTGGGACGGCACGAAGTCCAGAAAAACGATACGCGCTTTATGGCGGAATAGTGCGGAGCGCGATGAATTTGTTTATTGCGGAAGAGAGCTCCGACAATGTCCGAGACCACCACGACTTCAGTAACAAGTAGACATTGCGCAGGAAGGGTCGCACCAATGTTCGAACACAGAAAACAGCAATTCCGACAGTCTGAATAAAACGAGCAAGTCACAAACAGTGCGTTGTGCGAAGCGACAATTTTAATGACGCAGAGGAAGTATACATGTACAGTGATACCTGTCTAAGACGACGACCGCTCAAGGGACCTTCAAAACGTGGTCTCTGATACCAGGTGGTCTCCTTATCCAGGGTCATTTGACTGGAAATAGCATCCCTTGGTCCTGGTTTCAGTGGTCTTCTAGGACAGGTGGTCGCCTTATCCGAGTGGTCGCCTTGACAAGTTTTACTGTTACATGTACTATGTTGTGTACCGTTCTACCTCTGCTAGGTGTCTGATCTTCACTCTGTCTACTATGACGTAGGGGGCAACCCGAATGGAAAGCCTGTCTTGATTATGTAAGTGTGTGTGTGTGCGTGTGTGTGTGTGTGTGTGTGTGTGCACGTGTGTGTGTGTGCACGTGTGTGTGTGTGTGTGTGTGTGTGTGCACGTGTGTGTACGTGTGTGTGTGTGTGCGTGCGTGTGTGTATGCGTGTGTGTGTGTGTGCGTGCATGTGAGTGCATGTGTGTGTGTTATTGCACTTTTTCCACAACAACAATGCTAGAATAGATTTGTCATGGCGTGGCGGTTGATAAAAAATCGATTACAGGGTCGAATGTTGCTGCTTACTTGTTGTTTTTGAACCCTAGAATACCTCATTCTAACTTTGTTCCCGTGTTGAGCTTGCTCTCTCGTGTACCCTAATCAGGGGCATCGGAAGATATTTTACGTTGGTACGGTCGGCCAATTTTTATCGTACAATTCATTCGTTTGGATTGGGGTGGCTCCTGTGAAAATTTTCCCAAATTTAGACCCCAGATCAGTGCTTTTGATTGATTCACGAGGTACCCCTCCCCCCCCCCCCCCCGGACACAGAGTGGTACGGTCAATACCGTAGTGACCGTAGCGTGTCCGACGCCGTTGCGGGCAACGTTTCCTGTTTGTTTCGCGTGCGTGTGTGCGTACGTGCAGACACGGAGGTCCTGGGTCCGGGTCGCACGTGGAGAACCGAGCCCACTTTGATCCCGCCGTGTTCCGCATCGTCATGACCGATCAGCGTGGCGCCGGCAAGTCCACACCCTGGGCTGAGTTGAGGGTAAGCGTGGTGGTGGACACTCACTCTTCTAAGCTACAGTAAAACCTGTGACTAAAGACCACCGTGACTAGCGACCAGCCTGGCACTACAGGCCACTTCGCCGAGCACGGACGGTCTCACATTCATATGTGGTTGTGCGGTTCGAATCTCTAACTAAGGACCACCTGCCACTAAAGGCCGCTTTCTCTGGCCCCAAGGGGTGGTCCTTAGTCACAGGTTTTACTGTACTTTTTTATCACTTGTTTTATTTATTGTTTTACTATTGATACAGCCCTACTGGAAAACAGGTGGAGAACAAAAAGAAACCTGTGATTAGTTTTACTCGGCATCAAGAGTACATGCCAGTAACCAAGAGTGTGCAACTCGAGGAACCCCCAGTCCATGGCGGGATTTTTTTATGACGTCAGTCGTTGGCGGCTGTTTGGCTCACTGATGCCATCATGCGTAGCCAGAGATCATAGTTATGAGAATCAAAGCAGAACAACGGACGATAGATCGACGTGTCCTGAACCTGATGAACTCTCACCGTACCTACAAAACAAGCGCAGGAAAGCATATGCACTTGATCATACTTCTTCCAAAGAATGACGCAATGAAAAGATTCCGCCGTGGGTGAACCCATCACAGCTCGAGATAGTAGTTGCAGACTCTTGGTGATCTACACTTGACAGCATGCATCTCATCTGAACAGTATGCATGTACAGTAAATAAGAATGGGGCCCAATTTTCCAGTTTGGCAAGTCGTGGAATGGTGCAACCCCGAGGGAGAGAGAGAGAGGGAGAGAGAGAGAGAGAGAGAGAGAGAGAGAGAGAGAGAGAGAGAGAGAGAGAGAGAGAGAGAGAGAGAGAGTTGCTTTGGCTCCCGCCGTAGCATGGGGGCATCAGGGTGTGTTCATCTCTTTCGACGGATGTACATGTATACATGGTACAAGGTGTGTGTGTGTGGGTGTTTGCGCGCGCTTGTGTGTGTGTGTCTGTCTGACCGTGCATGTGTGTGCTTGTGTGTATGTGTGTGTGCACATTTTTGTGCTTCTCTTTCGACGGATGTGTACATGGTACTTTGTGTGGGGGTGGGGGTGTATATTTGTGTGTACGTGTGTGTGTGTGTGTGTGTGTGTGTGTGTGTGTGTGGATGTGTGTGTGTGTGTGTGTGCATGTGTGTGTGTGTGTGTGTGTGTGTGTGTGTGTTTGCATGTGTGTGCATGTGCGTGTGTGCATGTGTGTGTGTGTGTGCTAACAGGAGAATGACACATGGTCTTTGGTCAAGGACATGGAAACACTTCGGGAACACCTCAGTAAGTACAGCCAGACCTCGCTTATCCGATCCTCTTTTATCCGGATCCCTCGCCATCCGGAAGAGAATCATTGGTTACCGATTTCCAGCATATGCCATGCATGCATACAGTGTGTGTGTTCGATTATCTGGTCCCTCGCCTATCCGGATATTTTAGTGGGAAACGAATGTGTGCGGTTAAGCGAGGTCTGACTGTACCAAATTTAAGAGTGGTAGCCCTAAAAGATAGGTATTTTGTTGTTTTTAACGTGAGCTCTGGCTCAATTTCTGAGAACTTTGAAATGAAATAACCCGCTTGTGTTGTCGTGAAATGGGTACCCTTCATCGTTGCATGTATGTTTATGTGCTCTTGTGTAGACTCGTCTCTTGAGAGAGAGAGAGAGAGAGAGAGAGAGAGAGAGAGAGTAAACACAATCGTAACTCGTGAATTCCGTGTTGTTGACTCAAGGCAAGCAGCACCTCGTGTACACGTTGACAACAACGAACGAATTGATTATACTCTGATAATAAAATACTAATAATATGAAAGAACAAAACGTAAATGTCACCTACGATTACACAACAAGAGAGAGAGAGAGAGAGAGAGAGAGAGAGAGAGAGAGAGAGAGAGAGAGAGAGAGAGAGAGAGAGAGAGAGAGAGAGAGAGAGAGAGAGAGAGAGAGAAAGAGAGAGAGAGAGAGAGAGAGGGAGAGAGAAGGAGAGAGAAGGAGAGAGAGAGAGAGAGAGAGAGGGAGAGAGAAGGAGAGAGAGAGAGAGAGAGAGGGAGAGAGAGAGAGAGTGTGTGTGTGCGTGCGTGCGTGTGCACGTGTACACATGCGTGTGTGTATGTGGGCGTGCATCTGCCTACATTTGTCTGCATCTGTGTGAATGTGTCTTTTCTCGAATGTTTCCCTGCGTGTTTTGTTTTATCTTCGTTTTTGTCCGAATCTCTCTTTTTTTCTGCTCCGACTTTGCAGATATTGACAAGTGGATGTTGTTCGGAGGCAGCTGGGGTTCTACGTTAGCGTTAGCCTACGCAATCACGCATCCCGACAGAGTGACGTCAATGGTGCTGCGCGGTGTCTTCACATGCAGGCCGTACGTCTTGTCAAGTACTAAGTACTTCTGTGCAGCGGGAGGAGGGGGGGGGGGGGGGACTGCTCTTCTTCGTTTGGTATCATTTGAGCGCTGTGATTGCAGTAAAAGAACCGGTCGTCTGAGTACATATACATGTACCATGCATATACACATGGCGCCCTGCTTCGTGAGAGAGTCAGAAGAAAATCGTATGTGTGTGTGTTATACTTTCACGTACTCCTGTGTGCACATGCTCGGTGTGCTTGGAATGATGCGTGCACGTTCAACGGTCGTTGTTGTTGTTCTGTTCAGGAGTGAGATCCGATGGTTCTACCAGCACGGAGCCAGCGAGGTGTTCCCCGACTACTGGAAGACCTATGCTGACATGCTGCCGGAGGGCGAGCGTTCAGACGTGGTCAGCGCGTATCACCGCCGACTCTGTATGCCAATTCACTCAGTAAGGCCATAGCCCTACCGTAGTTCCGCGCATATAAGCCCATGGGCTCATATTGCCTCATAATTATATGAAAATAATGCAGTTTGGGGGTGAACTATCCAGTACAAATTGTAGTTCTGATCCAACACTCTTACATGTGTCTGGCCCATTGCCACCCATCCCAGTAAAGTTGCAGCCCTGAGTTTGTATTCTTCCTGCCATACATACGTATGCGAGCCTGCACGCACGCCTAACCGCCCCTGCGCCATTGAGGGTCTGCCCCTTATCATGTGGACTGGAAGGAAGCCGGGAACTGAATAAGAAATATCCGTGTAGCGAGTACCGCAGCTTTGCACTTTGTTGACTCAAGCGGGATTTGCAGAAGCTTTTTTTGCGATGCGATGGGCGATGCGACGTGATCTGCGATGGAGGCGTGCGATGCGAACTCGCGAAATACCATTCACAGAAGAAGTCAGCGTTGCGACGCCACCTTGCGGATTTGGCGCGAAGTTCAATGCAGGTGGGTATGTCACCATGGTATTCCGCGTGGCTTGGTACAACTTGTACAAGTACAAATTTACAGGCAACTCTTGGACCTTTGTACAACTTTGCTGTAGAAAAGGTCAAAATCGTACGCCAAATCGCGTGTCGCATCACGAAAGCTGAGCCAAGCTCAACTTCTGCGATGGCCCAGTTGTGGCGGTTGCGTGGGCTGCGAGGCGGCTACGATTTGGGGATTTCCCGGTTTCGCTGACGTCGCATCGCGTCGCAAAAATGCTGCTGTGAACCCCGCTTCAGACTGCAGTGTAAGTGGGCAAAGGCCAGGTCCGATCAAAACCATTTTACCTTGTCTACAAATTACTACAATATATAATGTAGGATGGTGCTGGCCTATCTGGCACACTGTCTTCCTCTAATCCCAACCCCCTTCCCTCTCCTCGCCCAATCTCTCTCTCTGTCTCTCTCTCTCTCTCTCTCTCTCTCTCTCTCTCTCTCATCTCTCCCTCTCTCTCTCTCTCTCTTTCTCTTTCTTTCTCTGTTGCTTTCTAGGAAGACGGCAAGACCAAAATCATCTCGGACGAGGACCTGCAGGAGATGGCTCGATACGCAAGAGCGTGGGCAGCCTGGGAGTGTGCAACATCGCGTCTGCATATCAGCGAGAAGGCCATCAGCAAAGCAGACAACTCTACCTTTTCTGTGGCGTTTGCTCGCATTGAGAGGTACGGCGCTGTACGTGTACTCCGTGTCGTTTTTTCAGCTCTTCACTTTCATTCTCAAATGAATTCAAATAAAACAAACAAACAAACAAAAGTGAGAATTCAAGTCGGCAGGAAACCTGCGAGCTCCCATGTAGGGAGCAACACACAATTCCCCAAGTATCGCCGAAGTCCCACCAACCTCTTCTAAACAAACAAAAGTGCGATGTACGTCATGAGGAAGTTGGTTGCTCTCCACACTGGAGCTCGCCCTATTCCGCCGACTTGACTTGTCACTTGACTGACTCACGACTGCCATCCAGAGCACACGAGAAGTCCATCGAACCTTGGACTTGGCAAACGTGCAAGAAAGCACCACTCCCTGCTCAATACACAGTGTTTCGGGGAATTCACCTCTCATCAGTTGAGCTTGAGTAGGCTGGGGAAGATTGCGCCTGAAGAGCACCACTTATATGCAGTTGTTGTAACTGCCTTTTCTCCACCTGCTCCCAGTCCCGTGCCACCTCCACACTTTTACAACGGGACGACGATAACTACAAGTTGAAAGACTGTTTATTGCAAGATGACTACTGAAACACAACTAGAAGACGAAGACTGCTTTTTCGCACCAGAGCAACACGCGCATGCACCAACACCACGTACACACAACGTACACAAAATAACGTACTACAACACAGCAGCACTGGAGTGCTCTGCAGGCCAAACCATCACTGGGGATACCAACTTACATCGATGTAGGTCATTTTGCTTTGAACTCTTTGAGCACTACCGGGGTTTGCCGCCCGTCCAATAGGCCATTTTCACGAAAAAAATGAAAAGTTCAAAATATATCCGAATTTCATCCGAACATGCTTTATCAGCCCAGTTATGACCTTAGAAGATCATTTTCAGAGGAATAGATGGAGTTGCAGCACCCAGGAGGGCTTTTAGAATATTCACCTTTGACGGTTTTTCACCACATTTTCACTATGTTCGTAGTCTTCTTCCGTCAAAAATACATAGCTGACCCGTGCATGGTAGTCAGGAAGTGCACTGACTTCGTATCCTCCAGCTTCACAAACATCATACCTGCATGGCTTCGATGGGCAAACCCTCCCTTAGGCCAGCTTCAGGCTCGCGACACACTTCGGCAGTCCCTGACGGTTCTTCCGAATCGTGACTTTCACGCCACAGCGTGCCCGCTCAGAAGGAGTATACTGGCGGCCTTGCAGCCTGCCGCGCCATGCTATCAGCTCCTCACCAATGGAGAGATTCTCCGCAAAGAAGTACACGGTTTTGGATAGCGTGCCCACGATGTCGAGCAGCGGACGGATCTTTGCCAGCTTGTCGTTACGATCGCTGGTCTCGTTGTCTGTGAAGTGCAGAACTTGCGACACTATTAGCCAGCGGTCACGAGGCATTGAGTCACTGTAGGCGGGTGTGTTCAGCATTGCGTCTTGCGTCCAGTAGAAATCAATCTTAGGTCTCGCAATCAGTCCCATATTCATTCTGTGTGTGTGTGTGTCCGTGTGTGTGTGTCCGTGTGTGTGTGTGTCTGTGTGTGTGTGTCCGTGTGTGTGTGTCCGTGTGTGTGTGTGTCCGTGTGTGTGTGTGTCCGTGTGTGTGTGTCCGTGTGTGTGTGTCCATGTGTGTGTGTGTCTGTGTGCGTGTCTGTGTGTGTGCATATGTGCGTGTGTGTCTGTGCATTTGTGCGTACATGGGTGCGATGTGTTTGTTGCTGCTGCTGCCGTCGCACTGTAGCCACTACTTTGTCAACAAGGGCTTCTTCAGCTCCGACAACTACATCATTGATAACGTTCATCGTATCGAGCACATCCCGTGCACAATAGTGCAGGGTCGATATGACATGGTGTGCCCTGTGCGTACAGCGTATGACTTACACAGAGTGAGTAGGGGTTGGATTCATGAAGCTGGTCGCAGTGATACTTGGTTTGTGTGTTGGGGGGGGGGGGGGGGGGGGGGCTGAGCACACGCTCATGCGTATGTGTTATGGTGGTGTACGCTCAAGCACTTGCACGCATGTACGTGTGCCTGCGTTCATTGACTAACGTATATTCCCCGTTGATGGTGTCCACTCTGCTGCTGTGTTTGCAGAACTGGCCTGGCTCCAAGCTGGTCATTGTACCCGACGGTGCACACTCCCGAAGCGAGCCTGGTATGAAGCAAGAATTGCTGGAGGCCGTAGCAGAGTTTAGCTGAGCCTGCCAGCAATGATGCGTGTGTACCTGAGCCTGCCAGGGATGTGTGTGTGTCGCTGAGCCTGGCATTGATCCGTGTGTCACTTGGTCAAGAACAGTGGCGCACTGGCCGTTCACCACTTTCTGCATACGTGTCCCGGGGAAGTGTCAACCTTCACGCGATTTCCGACTCTGCATAAACCTCTACGGCTGTCTCCCGTCTATTTATACTCAATTGCCACTGCACCTGGGTTTCTTTTGATCTGGAAGAGTCATCGTATACGTACGTGCACACCGGCGGGCTAGCGAAGGATTGTGAACTGGTTGGCTGGTCCAGGAGCTGATTTGAATCGGCTTGCACTCCAGGCAAAGCAGGGAGCATTGCCAAACCGGCCGAAAAGCCACACGCATCGGATAGTCCCAGCAGTGCTGCTATGGATGCGCGTGCGTCGGGGGCATTTGATCCGAATCTGAGCCGCTCAGTTTGTGCTCGATGCCGCATGTTTGCCTACCTGTGTATGATACTGCGCCAGCGCGGTGCAAGGTGTACACCACACCGTGGCAAGTCTCCTATGTCTTTTCCTATTCTGAACAACAACAAACCGACCGAGCATACATGTACATGTAAATTTTTTTCACGAAAGAACACGAACCAACTCGAGACGAAAAAGATCAGTATCTATGCTTTGTAAGACGTTCAGCGTGACTGGATTCTACGTGTAGTTGCCCTATAGTAATACCGTAGTCATCATAGCTAGTCATGTCACAGTTGGAGCATCCTGAATTTCGTACCGTGTGTCTGCGCTAGCCGTATTAACTGTCGTACCCGTATGCACACATTCCATCCCTGGCTACGCTTTGGAACTGTTTTCGTTGCCTGTGTCCTCATCTCTCTTCGTTTTGTTTTCGCTGCCTGGGCTCTCATTTATCTTTGCTTGCTTGCTTGCTTGTATTGCTGAGGGAACATATGCTGGTTTGTATTCGTGGGTCTCCATGGTGCATGGGCGACGCGTACTCATCCGGCGGATATGTGTGAATGAATGAATGTATTCACACTTCCTATTTTTCGATTCAGTCACGTCCCTTTCCTAGGTTTGATAGCATTTTCGTCTCCGAGGAAACTGAGTACAGTCGGCTCCTGTTCTAACGAACACCATTGTGCAGGATGATTAGTTCTTTATAGACGAAATTTCTTATTGGTATTGGTATTGATTTATTTGAATTCGGTATCTCAACAGTACATTGTACAACTTGGGAAGATCCGAATGACATAGATACATAAACACGAAAGTGGAGTAGGTGCTACAGCTGATCATTTTATCGCAGGTTGTGGGACTTAACTAATACCAGTATGCAAGTACACAAGAAATAAAAGCTGAATAAATACGACTGCATGACATTGGAGAAAAGCACCAATTAGAGCAACACAAAGCAACACATCACTCATTGAAAACATTTTCAAAAAGGAGCTGTTTTAACCGGGTACTTATGATACTTGATAGTAACCGAAATGCACTCGCACCGTTACCTTACCAACACGTTATGGCAAGTGGCCCATGACAGTATGATTCAAAATAATTTTTTTATTATTTATTATTATTATTTTTAATTTTATTATTTTCATTTATTATTTAATATATTATTTATTTAATTTGCATAGTTTACATGCGGCCGTTTGACCACCCCACGGTGCAAGCAAAAGCGGTCGTTAAAGCCAGGTGATCTTTAGAACCAGGTCCCACCGTGTCTGCGTAGAACTGTTGGTGCATGGAAAGACGGTCGTTAAGGGCAGGTGGTCGCTAAACCCAGAGGTCGCTTACACCAGGTTTTACTGTAGTTAGAAACGAAAACTGTTCGCAATAAAGGGTCAGTTTTGTACGGGTTCGAACAGGGACATGTACACTGGTTGGCTATATCACGAAATATGCTACATGTACATGTATAATGCGAATGTGTAAAGTGGTGGTTCACAGCAGGAAGGGGTGTACGAGTTTGCTGTCGCAGCATCACTGCATTTCTGCTCCCTGTTTTGTAGGTTTTGCACAAGAACTCTCCAATTTTGAGTTGCGATATTGGCAACTTTTGAGCTTTTTCTGAAAATATGGATGCGATTTCAGCAACTAGCACTTGTTTTGGCACGGTTGCGAAAAGCATAAGTTGCGAAAAACTATGGCATCTTTGGGAAAGGGCTACTCATAGCCTACCTCACGACCTTCTGCTTTCTTTCTTCATCACTTGTATCTTGCAGGTATATCATCCCGTGACGACCACATTGAAGTCTGAATTTGAAGTGTGAAGATGCTTCAGCAACCACATCGTACTTTTCCATTGCTTTCATTGTGCTTCTACTGTACATGTGTGTAACTTGTGGGGTAAACAGGTGATGACATTGTATGCTGGCGACACGGTCAGATGTTGTCCATGCGTCTAACGTAAACCTGCATGCTATGCATTGAAAAGGATTTGCCACTTGCGATCCTGGGACGAGTATCAGGTCAGCTTTGTCCTGTGTGGGCTGTATCAGATTGCTGTTCACTTCTCTATCTGTTGGATGTGTGACTTTCTGCAAGTTTCTGGTGTATGATGGCCACTTCCTTGCTTGTCACTTTGTATGGTATTACATTCTGTATTCGCTGCTTCCATGGCGTGGTCTGCAAACTGCAATCCTTGGGCAAATGTCATGTTTGCTATGTTGTGCTTTGGCCGTCAGCTTGCCTACACGCTGTAGTTGCATTATTTTTGTTTCACAACTGACTTCCTCAAGTACGGTGGCCACTGCTTTGCATGGCATTATATGAAGAACTTACGTTTCCTGTTTGTGTCGTGTGCATGTGCGTGGCCACGTGTGTATGCCGTGTGCATACGCATGTTTGTGTATCTGTGTGCGGGGTAGCGAGGCCGGGAGGGCTGGTATGTATCAGTGTGTTATTGCAATATCATGGCTACATACAGTACATCGCGCGCGTGGTCATCATGTTTACCTTCGGGGTTGGGGTGGGGAGGGAACGGAAAAAGAACTGAAATTATCCATATAAAAACCGCTCTGTGAGCGGTTCTGAAAAACCTTTACTGGTACTGCCCCGTCGTAAAAGTAAGAAATTAGAACTGGCCCATTGTCCCCCCAAATGCGAACTGATCCACCTAAATCGCGAATGACGGGACCCGAACGCACCAGTAGCACGAGGTTCCTACCTGTGAATGCAGATGGGGACGTCGTTGGTCCGGAATAGGCCATGTACTGTACTAGCGGTAGGTGGTGTTACCCTATGATAATTGCTGTCTTGTGCCCTCCCGACCTCGTGCTACTGGTGCGTTCGGGTCCCGTCATTCGCGATTTAGGTGGATCAGTTCGCATTTGGGGGGACAATGGGCCAGTTCTAATTTCTTACTTTTACGACGGGGCAGTACCAGTAAAGGTTTTTCAGAACCGCTCACAGAGCGGTTTTTATATGGGTCATCCGAATAAAGATATTATTATTATTATTATAAGTAGAGTTGACAAATCCGTCAATCCTGGAGCCACATTGACAATTTGTAGCTGCTACAGAGAGTGCTCAATGTCAAAGACAGAGCTTAGTGCATAGCAGACTCAACGGAGGACGTTCAGGTTGGTTGTAACTCTGAGCTTCATGCCCGTGACTACAGGCAATCATCTTACAACCCTGAGTTTTCTGTGAACTCTGAGTTCAACGGTTTAATTTACAACCAACCTGAACGTCCTAGCCATTGGCGGACTATGCTCGGCCAATCGTCAAATTATGCTTTTGATTATGCCACAATTATGCCAACAAATATGCTGAATTATGCTCGGTTCCACTATGTATTCACGCTGTACATAGAGGATTGAGAAACCACGCATACACACACGGCCATGCCCTAAGCTTAATTTTTATCTAAACTGAAAGATTATGCCGACCTTACACGTTGGAATCCGTATAATATTATGCCGGAGCATAATTTTTTGACGAAATCCCAAGATTATGCCAAATATTATGCCGGCATAATCCGCCAAGGGCTATGATAAGGAGTCGTAACTAGGCCTTGACGGATTATGCTAATATTTTCGTTAAATTATGCTTTTCGCATTGCTGAAAAAATTGCAGAATTATGCTATTTTTATGCTAAAAGTTATCATATTATGCCGCATTATGCTCACATATGCTGCTAATGCATAATGGGTCTGTGGAAAATAACAAGGGAATTTTTTTGTAGAGGGCGTTGTACTGTAGTAGCAAAAGTTCAACGGGATAAACGCACCGTCCAACCTACATGTAGCTATGACCATCACTGATTGTAGTGGACTGGACATGTTATCAAGGGAGTCGTAAACCTACAACTTCCTGGTGCATCTACTTGTACTTGTACTTGTAGAACATGTACAACTGTATGGAATTGATGCAAACAGGCGGATTATTACAATTTTATGCGATTCGTATGCAATTTGCGCGAACTGCCTCGAATTATGCGATTATTCGATTTTGGTAGGAATTATGCGAAAAATTATGCTAGCATAATCCGTCAAGGCCTAGTCGTAACTGGGGTATTTAAAAAACAAACATCTGCAGGCTTTCTGACAAAGCTGTATAGGGCTTGAAAGTGCTACGTCACAGCACAGCAACAATTTCAAAAACTCAAAAATTGGATCCACTTGGATCCAGTTTTTGTATGGATCCAAGCACATTTCAAGCCGTCCTACTCTCAGCAAGGTGATGTAACCAGTGAAACTGACTGATTTGGCTACTGAGGGCGGGGTTACAACTGGTGGCGAAGTAAAAGTCACCCCTGCATACGACATGAGTGGGTTGCTATGCACCCACATACTGAGGCAATGGCAAAGTCACACCTTAGTGGATCCAAAATAGAAATCTGATGTCAACTTACTACTCCCTGGCCGTTTTTGACGTCATCACTTTCAAGCCCTATTATGCCCCTAAGCATAAGTTTTGTCTAAACCGAAAGATTATGCCGACCTTACACGTTGGAATCCGTATAATTATGCCGGCATAATCCGCCAAGGGCTAGAACGTCCCCCGTTGTCAGTCTGCTATGCACATGTAAGTGGAGTCAACTGTAGTAAAACCCTGCTAAAAGTTATCATATTATGCCGCATTATGCTCACACATGCTGCTAATGCATAATGGTTCTGTGCAAAATAACAAGGGAATGTTTTTGTAGAGGGCGTTGTACTGTTGTAGCAAAAGTTCAACGGGGTCAACGCACCGTCCGACCTAGCTACAACCATCACTGCATGATTGTAGTGGACTGGACATGTTATCAAGGGAGTCGTAAACCTACGACTTCCTGGTGCATCTACTTGTAGAACATGACTGTACAACTGTATAGTTTTATTATAATTTGATGCGAACAGGCGGATTATTACAATTTTATGCGATTCGTATGCAATTTGCCTCGAATTATGCAATTATTCGATTTTGGTAGGAATTATGCAAAAAAATATGCTAGCATAATCCGTCAAGGCCTAGCCTATGCCCCCTCCCCCCGTAGTAGGCTCTAGCCCTGGGCCATTTTTCACTGCTTTTCGAGCAGAATCTTCCCATTATTTTTACTAGCATCATCCACCAAGCGCTAGCCTGTATTTTATACATGTATGGATTTCAGTTGCCAGCACTGTAGTATACTATACTATGATAGCAGCATTAATAATTATTTTCGTCTTGGGAAGCAACAGACCAGGGGAAGTAGCCGGCCATGTAACGTTAGGGGCGTGAGCCCGCCTTTCGGCACGGGGAGTTGCAGCTCGCTCGACTCTACTATACGGAGTGAGCAGAACCCACACCTTCAAGGCTTGACCTGGTGAGCTGCGTAGTGGCGATTTTTGCAGTCAGATGTTGTGCTACTGCTGAGCTCGAACCCGCGACCTCTCGGCTCTCGGGTCGCAAGCAAGTGAAGCCTCCCAGTTGTATGATACGCTCTGTGTCGCTGCAGTAGCAAACGCCAGCTCACAGTTGACCCTGCACGACCTGCTAAAAACTAACAAAAGAGTGAAAAGACTGTTCTAATCTAGCGGTCCACACTCGAAGGTACCAGAACTGCTACTTACTTCGCAAGACAACTAGTAGTAGACCATGGTAGACGGTCTACTCAGCAATTAAACTTACAATGTCATAATTGTTTGTGTAGATCTGCAGTTTTTAAAAGGGCATTTCCAGAGTTTTCCGTTGAACAGTCGCACTCCTGGCAAATCAAGTGGACGTCAACCAAGGTCAACTAGCCTATTCTAGAACATTTTAGTCTAATATAGACCTACTACCCGCGGAGGACGTGTGTGAGGCTTCGATCTCTCTCGAACCCTCGCCGCTCCTGCAACACGTCCGCTGGACTGTACATCTACGCGTGCACGTATCTGCTCCTGGCCTGGAGAACTAGTACTAGTAGTAGTAGTACTACATGTAATACTGATCTACTAGCACAGTACATGTACGACATGATTGTAGACATAGTCACTTTAGCGCGCGCCGATCTGTAGATCTACGAGTCGGTGATAGTTCATGCACTAACCCAATGGCCAAGGAGATCTTCTTGACTCTAGTATAGGCCTTGACAGATTATGCTAGCATAATTTTTCGCATAATTCCTACCAAAATCGAATAATCGCATGATTCGAGGCAAATTGCATATGAATCGCATAAAATTGGACTAATCCGCCTGTTCGCATCAAATTCCATACAGTTGTACATGTTCTACAAGTACAAGTACAAGTAGACACACCAGGAAGTCGTAGGTTTACGACTCCCTTGATAACATGTCCAGTCCACTACAATCAGTGACCAGGGTGACGGTCATAGCTAGGTCGGACGGTGCGTTGACCCCGTTGAACTTTTGCTACTACAGTACAACGCCCTCTACAAAAAAATTCACCTGTTATTTTGCACAGAACCATCATATACATTAGCAGCATATGTGAGCATAATGCCGCATAATATGATAACTTTTCGCATAATAATAGCATAATTCTGCAATTTTTTCAGCAATGCGAAAAGCATAATTTCACGAAAATATTAGCATAATCTGTCAAGGCCTGCTCTAGTAGGTTCTTTCTATTCATCGTGATAGAAGCTACTAGTAGTAGTACAGTGCTGTGTTTATCTGTTTACTTTTTAGTACAATGCCCGCAATGGCGTTTTATGTAGATCTAGTCAGAGAGTACAGTCGTGGCCACAGAAATCCGACCGCAGCAACCGGGTCTGCTAGGCCCTAGCACGACACACAACACTCTGCGCACTTGAGCGCCGCGCTATTCTTACTTCATAAGAATCATAATGTCGGATTTCTCTGGCCAGAAGTGCAGGTACAATGACACGTGCATTCACTAGCTTCACTTGTGCAGTCTGTCCCTGGTCTTTCAAGCTGAAGACAGTGAAGTGGGTCTTGTCAGGGTGGAAGGCCCTAGGTGGTAGAACAGAAGAAAAGAGACAGGCGTTCAGGTTCAAGTGTCAGTTAATTCGATCTTCGATGGTTTATGTACATGTATCTGCTCCATCCATGCCCATGCCATGGTTTACCATGTCGTCCGTGGTTTTCACCGATCAGCTGATGATCAGTGAATGACTATGACTGTCGTCAGCAAAGCTTCCTTGGCCTGGCGCGGCTGGGTCGGCGGCGCTCTCCGCTCCCTAGCCTCTCGGATGGCAAACCGGAGGGCGGAGGCATAGCAGACCCGGTAACCGTGACGTCCGCGATCTGTGCCGTGGCCGTGCAGTGTGCAAGTGCGAGCTTGTGTTGATATGAGTTGATGTACATGACTTTGTGCTGTATTTCTACTTTCTAGTAACCTTGTAACTGCTTTGAGTTGAACCGAGCGCGTGCGTAGTCTACCGGAGAAAAGCGTGGAACATGTTTTACCTACACACCGTGACACTGCTTCGCTGCTTCGAGAAATTCTCTGTCGCTGCTTCGCCGTCATCAGCAACTGTATAAAAGGCACCCGCCACTCTCTAGGCTGTTCAGAAGCTCGCCTACTGTTGTACTCGAGTCGTTCAAACACAAAGTTGTTCGGCCGTAACAAGTAACAGAATTTTAGCTTCAATCCAGTGTTTTGATCCGTCATGGCCAGCTACCCGAAGTCCATTTTCATCACCGGAGCAAACAGCGGCATCGGTCTGGGATTTGTCAAGCACGTTCTGGAGCAGGGCAAAGGCACGACGGAGCATGTATGGGCCACGCACCGCCGGCCACTCGGCGACGAGGCGACCCGCGAGCTGGAGCAACTGGCCAAGGACAACAGCGATCGCCTGCACCTGATACGTATGGACGTCAGGCAGCAGGACACTATCCGAGCGGCCGTAGAGGAGGTGGAGAAGGTGGTGGGCGCTGACGGTCTCAATGTACTGGTGAGTAACAGCGGCGTAGCGGTCTACCAGTTTTCACTACAAGAGATTACCGCGGAGACTCTGACGAATCACGTGCAAGTGAACACCATTGGCGCGTTCCTGGTGCTGAAGGAGTTCCACGGCCTGCTGAAGCGCGCCGCGGAAGCCAGCAAGGAGCAGCCGCTGGGATGGAAGCGCTCCGCCGTCCTCTACACGTCCAGCATCATGGGCTCGCTCACGGAGAGCTCCGGAGACGGCCAGTTCGCGGTGCAGCGGAACCCGTTGTTCCGCACGTACAGCTATCGCGCGAGCAAGGCGGCACTGAACATGCTGGCGCACTCCATGGCGCCGGAACTGGCGGATGACGGTATCGGCACGCTGCTCATGCACCCGGGCTGGGTGCAGACCAACCTGGGCGGCGATCAGGCTCCGCTGACCGTGGAGGACTCCGTCAGTGGTCTGGTCAGGATTGCGCAGGCCCTGGACACCACGACCAACGGCAAGCACCTGTCGTACGACGGCGAGGTGCTGGCCTGGTAACCATGCCGACCATGTGTGGGAGTGTCCGACGGCGTATCGTCGGGGCGCGGCGAGGATGCGGCTGATGCTTTCCTGTCGTACGCCCGCGACGTGTTGCGGTGGTAATCAAACCGACTGTGGTGTGTAGTTATCCAACGGCGTAGCCTGATTGGACGCTATCAGGATGCATGCGGGTGGTGCTATCCTGTCATAGTAGACAGGGTGTTGCCGCAGCATGCCTACACATACATGTACCTCTGCAGCTATGTTCTGCTTGCACTTGTAGCCAATATTGTTTTTGAGAACGTCTGCACGTACCGGTATAATTATTATTGTGCTCATCTTTCTCCAATGCAGCCTCTTACGTATCATGATCAACTCTGCACTTCTCCCACTCCTATTACAGTGTCTTCACAGCAAATCCCTTTGTATTCCACCACTGTACATGAATGCAGCCTGGTACCTCAGGCATGGTGGCCGTCCTTTTCTAGGAAACTTCTTTTATATTAAAGCTGGTTTCTTTTCTAGCCGATTATAACGCGGATGTTCAAACTTTTACTTTACTTCGCTTCATAGTTAGTAGTAGCTCAAACTGGTAGTGGTCCAGTACGAGTGCTGGAACTTCTCTTTCTTTTCCCCTTTTTTGTGCATATTGACAGCAGACACGCGATGTGTTTCTGCTCTTTGCGTTGATGGTGTAATAAAGACCACTAGTGCTGTACCAGTAGTATCGCACATCCGTGTCTGGCCTGGGGTTGCTAAAATTAATGGTCTTCTTGTGTCATCAGAAACTTGTTATGTCAAATGTGCGCCATCCATCCCGATTTGGCCGGGAATGTCCCGATGTCGAGGGTGGTAATAGGCAGCCCAAAGTGCATTTGTCGCACGCCTCACAGCTACATTTGTACTTGCAAGTATACATTTTTATACCTAGGTACATGCATGTCATTGTCCCGATCTCAGGTTTGCAAAGGCTGACAGGTATGAGAGGTGTGCAGGCTGAAGAAATACGACAGTCCTTATGACTCGTATGAATAAGAATGGCATCGCGCTCAAGTGCGCAGAGTGTTGTGCGTCGTCCTAGGCTAGGGCCTGGCAGACCAGGTTCCTGAGGCCGGATTTCTCTGGCCAGGAATTATTTTGGCGGTACATGTACTGCAGTGGAACGTTGATGATGTTTAGTAGTCTAGATACAGTGCAACGAGTGTTAGTTTCCAAGATCTTTACAAGACTGGCGAACACTAAATGTCATGAAGAAAGTGAAGAGAAAGGAGGTTTATATAGGAAAGAGATTGTGATAGAAGACTGTGCAATGAAGTTTGTTGTTTTGTTAGATATCTGACGTGTGCTGTTTGGAAGAAGTGTTTGGATGCAAACAGAACTTACAAGAGATGAGTAAAGACTACTTTTCTACAATAGCGTTGTAGGCGAGGAGTGCGTAACATCAAAAGATGTCGTAATGTGTATTGGAACTATGCTAGCCAAACATTACGTAATTATTATGGTAGCGAAGTACGTGTAGTAGGTATTACAATGTGTGCCAGAGTATGGTGAATCAGTGTTTGTGATGATGAGGAAAATATGACGTGTACATGCAAACAAATGATGATGTCATGATGCGAGAACGTCAGAGACGCTACAGATGTTCATGTTTCCACACAGCGTCCCATTCCCGGCTGTGTGACGGTGTCGCTTTGTCATGATAGTGTTGAAACTTGAAAGTGTCGGTGAGGCGGGTGCACTCCGATCTACGATACTGAGAACTGAACATGCCCAGGGGAGATTGGATAAAACGACGCTCCTTCGGGAGAGAACGAAATGTCCGAATCGTCAGTGTCACTGAACCAGGTTTTGACTCCAGGTGGACTCTAACGCATAACTAGCTAAGTTAGTTATGCGTTAGAGTCCACATGGATTTACATTGAAACAAGGAAAACGGTGGGGCACAAGTAACTTGTGCCCCACCGTTTTCCTTCCTTCCTTCTCCTTGTTTTCCCTTGTTTTCCTTGTTTCAATTTTCCTTGGCTCACCATCTTAGCACTTGAAGTACTTGTCACTAAACCCGCCGCTAAACCCCATTACTTTCCCACTAATTTTAATATGCAGTACTGAGGTACATGTCTGTACATGTACATGTCATTGTGTTTAGCTGGGTAGAGTATGACAGTAGCGAGCAGTTGCCAGATCATCAGCCAGTCAGGAGCGCGTACAGGTCACGTGCAGAAATGCGTCGAAAACACTGGAAATAGCAGACGAATGCCCGAGGAGGCAGATAATACCATACTAGTACAATACTTGGCATTGGCGGGTAATGCTAGTTATTTGCTGCGATAATGCTTAAGGTAATGCTCATAATATGAGGATATAATGCCACCTATAATGCTCACACTGCTCCATAAAGCCAGTTTGAAAGTTGGAAAAGTCGATTTAAGGGGGCACATCACCCAAAAATTTCATATGGCATTCAATTGACCGTAACTTGTCTTTGGTGTTTCTCAGTGGATTTGAGTGAAATTTTGACCACACACTCCTGCCACTATGCTGGCCCTCAGGACATGATTTACAAGTTCTTGCGTCTCACTGACAGGCTTTCCAGGCCGGAAAAACTCAAATTTCCGGCATAGTGCTACGGTGTGCGAGCCACCCAGGAGCCAAACAAATGCATTTACATTTTTTTCACATTTTCGTGCCCATTCTGTCCGTGCGCGGGACCCAAACCTAAAACAAGTCCAGAAGCAGCCATGGGTGGTGGGGTAGGGCCCCTCAACGTGGCCCTGGAATCTGTCACAACGGAACGAGTGGGCGTTCTTTCACGGACTCCCACAGACCCAAGGCAATTTTTGAATTTTTTTAGGTTTGGCACGTGCTACGAGGTCGTACCTTTGATACAACATCCAGTGCTGGGACCTCCACAGCAAGCCATTTCCACAGCGCTGCAAACCAAATCCAGGATGCCCTCAGAAACCGGCAAAGACTGCCACTCACGTTTCACTACTGCCTAGTACTGAATCCTACCTGACTTCTTGACACGACTCAAACTTGCCAAAGTCACTAAATCAACGTCAACTACAATAATCAAGCCACATATCTGCAACGTCACGAGGGTGCTGGCAAAAGTCCTGCTGCACGTGGTTTTTTAACGTGATTTTTTGGACTTTTTTGGACTTGGGGCAAAATTCTGCACACTTTCGCGTGTTTCCATAATACGACAAGTTGCGCACGGTCTGCTCACATTCAAATACAGTGCTGCCAACAAATGACAGCATGCAACAACAAAATCTTTCCTTGCAAGGGCACATTTTCGGCCATAACTCTTGAACGGCTGGTCAGATAGGGACACAGTTTTCAGAGAATTTGCAGCTATTCATGCTCTTTCAACTGACGTAGCACTCAATATGAATTTACAAATTCGATTTTTCAGCGAATTTTTGGGTGATGTGCCCCCTTAAGACAGGGTGTAAATGCCTGACATGCCGCTGAGGTTTGCACTGAATAGACAGTAGGACATGAAAACGAAGAGAGATCTTTTATGATCATAGCATGATGGTGTGGAAAGTATTTAAAATCACGAAAAGAAAATTCGGCGGACAGGCCATTACATGTTTCGAATAGAAAACTCTCAGCTGTCTGTAGAAACAATTCGCGAAGCGCTGCGAGCAATGTTTCTTGAGATTTATTTTTTATTTATTTTTTACCACAAAGCACTGGCCAGCAACATAAAAGGAGTGGCAGACAAAATTGGACAAGCGAACATTGACAACACAGAGGAGCCTGGCATGCGTGCCGATGAGGTAGGTCAACCTCCCCCCCCCCCCCCCCGCCCTAGATACATACATCATTCGTAAGTTGAGCTGCAATCTCGGCAATTTCCAAATGTGACCTTGTCTAGCACAATCGACGTGTGAAACTAGCACTACGTCCAGTCTGTTGGCATCACCGTGAAAGTAGCGCTATTTATTTTAGAACGCACGAGAGATACACTGCTGCTCCCTGCGACGCTGGCAGCCCTCTGCACAGGTGTAAAAAAGTGTAAGATATTTTTTCACTGTTTCGCCCTGTGATACTGCCGTATTCCGAGTGACTGCATAGGGAAGTCATTATTTCCCACCGCAAGGATTGCCACTTTGTAGCACTATCAGCACTGCTAGCATTTTAACTAGCATAATCGCTCCAAATAACTAGCAGTGCTAGTAGCACAATTTCCACATACATGTACATGTATAATCGCCGGTGCCTATAAGATACGTTGTCACTGCATGGTGTACATGTAGACGTATTTGGCAGGACTGCCAACATTCTAAGTAACACGGTTTGGTAAGGTCACTTACGTAAGCACTGCTGGAGATCACGGGCATGGGGCGTGCCCGTAGACGACAGAACAAACCCGAGGACACCTTCAGGAGTGGCGACGATGGACTTCTCGGTGAGCCTAGCCGCGAGCGAGCGCTGCTCGTACTGCAGTGCAGTGCTGTGTGGAATACCAGCCTTCAGCATTCACTTTACCATACAGCTATCGCCAGCTATCAGAGACAATACACAACCATATGCGACATGCAACACGAACAAACACAGTGAAATTCAATAACGTAAGCTTACAACAGGAACAAGAAGAAGAGATTGAAGATTTCATTGGAACTCCGCGTCTCGGGCACAGGGCAGGCGATCATGAATTATGTACGTCACAGTGGATGATTACATTGGAGTCTTCACAAACACACTCTGAAAAAATCACTAAGAATATCACTAGGTTATGATAATACAGTAAAACCTGTAACTAAAGACCACCGTGACTAGCGACCAGCCTGTTACTACCGACCACTTCGCCAAGCACGGACGGACGGTCTCACATTCATATTACGGTTGGGCGGTGCAAAACCTGTAACTAAGGACCACCTGCCACTAAAGACCGCTTTCTCTGGCCCCAAGGGGTGGTCGTTATTTACAGGTTTTACTGCACATGTACATGTACATGTATACACATACATCCAAAGCGGGATCGAAGAAGTTGGAAGAACTGTTAAAAAAAAGTTAACTAACATTCATGCAGCGCTGCATACATGTCCATGTACTTCGCAGTAAGTTTACGTAACACTCGTTTCAAGCAACTGCCGACTCATGTTCATTTCCATTTTTACCGTGAACACTGCCCTGCACTACAGAGATAGACGTGGAGAACAATCAATAATTCTAATTTATAACCCAGGTGCAACGACAATTCCCCATGTACATGTATATAATAATCTTTATTTCAGGATTACCCAAAGGCTAACGCCTACTAGTATCTGGGGGATCTCCTATTTGTGTATGTACTTGTAACATAGGAAAAGAGATGTGCAATGATAATCGGATTTCTGTTACATACCGTCAACCTTGTGACCAGCCAACACGAGCAGACTGAGTACGGCGAACGCCAGACAGGAGAGGGAGAGAGGGGCCAGTTGATGCGCCATGCTGGAACTCACTGCAAGACGATGCAACGCACGAAAACGACGTGCTGGAGAAAAGGGCGGTGAAAACCAATTTGCCACCTGTATCTTTGACTTGCAGCCAACAGAATTTTAGTATTCTTCCTCCGTCTTCCCTCTCTTCCTATATCAATGGTACTCCTCAGTTTTCTCTTTTATAGCCGCCCAGCGATGTGATTCCTTACCTTTTGGAACCTTGCAGAGAATAGGGAACCGGATATCAGCGGGCAGCGGCGTGGATGGGAGAGTTCGCAGCTGTGTGGTCGAAGTCTTGTCTG